CACAGTGTGGCGAGGAGTGAATAAAGCTTGGTTTTAACCCCCGGTTCCTCAGAAATACCACTCCTCTTTCCACATTCAGCTTTACCAAAGTCCTCAGTGAGTGCTGAGCTTCAGCAGGAATTGGACTCAACATGAAGGAGCATCTCCCATGAAGGCAGGCATGTGGTTCAGTTCCATCTTCTACCTCTTGTGTCCTGCTTACGTAAAACATTGTGTTTTGTTTTGTTCATATGGCCATTGCTCATATGGTCATTGTTGATTTGTTCATATGTTTATATGAAAATAATGGGACAATTTCTCTTGATTCCAGTAAGGTAGGTCTAAATGTTGCTTTTTAAAATGTGAACAAAGACAGCAAAAATTCTGCTTTGTGGTCCTAGACAACCAAAATATGTCATCATATAATTTAATATCCTGCCAATTAAATATTTAATTTTAAGCCTTCTGCTCAAGAAAGTAATGTGCCTCTAAACTTCTTTGTACAAATAGTCTTCCAAAAGTTTTGAAGTAAAAATGACCTATTGCATAATTATACTTAGATTTAATAGCATTTTGATTTATTAGATAAGACTAAATTAGATTACATAAGATTAATTAAGAAAACATCTAATGTTTTTCCTCTGATACCACACAATACTAGATGGACACCTAAATGATGGACACCAACTTAGCAGTATTATTATCATACATTTGTAAATTATTCATTTTTTCTCTCAGATATCTACATAAACATTTTTCATAACTTAAAATTGCCAGTAAATGTCATAATTATATGTCATATGTCAAGATGATAAAATTGAATGTATTTCTAGGAAATCCACTATCTTTGTTAGTGGTGAAAGACTTGTTTGTRCCCTGGGGTTAGTGGATAGTGTTTTCTAAGACTTTCAAAGTGTCAGTGCTATCACCTTAGAAGAATGTGCAGGAAAAAAAAAAGTGGAGTTAGAGACCTCTCTTAGATACCTTGAAGAGCTAAAAATGGACAGAGGGTTCCCAAAGAAGATAAAATTACTATAGAAAGGGAAGAAGGAAAGGAAACAGAAAGAAAGACAGACCAGTTGGCACTGGTAAAGGTGATGGTCTTTCTAAGGAAKTTGAACTGGTACCTAAAGGGCCTCTTGATTTTCCTTGGAAGTGCCAATTGGTTACTTAAAATCACAGGAAATAAATTTTGAATTGATTTATTATCAAGCTGCTTCAGAATTTGATGGCTGTTTCAGAGACTTTTATCATGCGCTTGAAATTAACACTGACTCTAGGACTCTCACTGAGTTGTAGAAGTAGCGTTTGTTTGGCCCTTTTGAATACTTTGTGTTCTCTCAGATTTCACTTACTGGTGTTGAAGTTCACTGAATGAGCTACATCTTTTTTTGAAAAACAGATATATCATCTTTAAAATTAATTAAGATTATTAAGTGAAAATTACATTTCAATATCAGTTGATGATGTTAGTGTTTGCAACAGTAGATTTGATTCCTCTGCTTCCTATTTGAATTCATACTCAGCGCCTGAGTTAAAAGAAAAGAATTGCCTGAGCAGATGGTACTTCCAAAACTTCTTAAACATTTGGGGACGATCCTCCTCCAATCCTCATTTGTTTAAACATTTCTGAAATTCTCATCTCTGAAAATGTATTTGAGGAATACTTCTGCTATGTGTACAGCTTCTGGTGCTTYGATTTTTACAGTGAATTTATCATCAGCAAAGACCCCAAGCCCGAGAAATTTTATTTAGGAAGCAGTGAGGGTGCAGTGAGGGTAGGAAGCYACACACAGAAGCATAGGTGGGAAATGAGGCTTGTTTCTCCTTACAGAACAGTTTAGCTATTTGATGAGTATGGTTCTTCATTTCTAATTTTTTTTTGAGATTAAATGAAATGTACTGTTTTGCTGAATTTAACTTATTCATTATAAAYGGTTCACTAAAGTCCAAACTTTCTGTGCTTTGAAGCAGAGAGTTGAAACTTGGCAAGGAGTCTTATCTTCATGATGAAAATCTGTTTAGACATCTTGAGTTCCTTAAAAATTCCTTATTGTAAGTCCTGTATAGGGTTTTAACAGTTAATGAAGAGGCTTTGTGAGTAGCCTTCAGTCAGGAGCTGTGGAAGCTGACCAGAATAATTTCTTCTGGCACCTCCTCCTTGATTGCTGTCATCTGCTGGGGTATCAGGTGTTAAATCTGAGAGCTGGACGATGCTGTCATTTGATGCCAAAGCAACGTAGAGAAGGCCTGGATGTGACTGTGCCGGGATTTTCCCACTGCTTTTCTCTCCTAGTTTCAAACAGTTGGAAAGCACTATGGAAGGGATCATCCTATCCCTCTAATGGGCCTTGCAGAAAGGAGGAGCTTGCTGCTGCTCTCAGTTGATTGTCATATATTCATTAGAATATGGTTGTTGATCATATATGGCCATTAATTACCTGATTAATTGAGGGTTTTCTGCTTTTTCCATGGCTGAGGTGCTGTGCATTCTTGGCTTCCCAATGGGAGCCTCAGATAGTGCTTGGGTAAAAAGGATGCTCTGACGAGTCTGAGCTAAGCGGGCAAATAGGCTAAATTTCTTTTGATTTTAGACACTCCATTTATCTTAGTAGTGGTGCTAAGTATTCACAAATTTGCATCCTTTAGAGATAGATTTTCATGAAGATTATAGGAAATAAATGTCTTTGAGATATTACAATAACTTGTTGAAATTGCACAGTGAGTCTGGAAGGTGTTTCGTGCTGGAGTAGATGTGAGCAGAGACAAACATAGGTAGGACAGTCACATGAAGCTTGTTTCATTGTTTTCAAATATGACATTCAACAAAATTCAAGTTACATATGCAACTAACGGGGAAGATCTTAGCCTTGATGGATGCAGCTTGTCTAGGTTAATACATACAAAAGTGGGCTTCATGATGGAAAATTCTAATTTTGAATGCACGTAATSTTCCACAGTGAAATGAGAGAAATGTATCAGCTGTCACATCTTTCACTTCTAGGCATGAAAGAGTGGCAGAAAGACAAAGGTAAGAGGAAACTACTAGTTTGGAGAAGGCTTGAAACATTTGGGGCCAAATTGTGAACTGTATTGTTTTTTTCCCTTTACTTTGACCAGAATCAGACTGCTGCTACTGAGATCTAGTAATCTTGCTTTGGGAAGAGGCAGGGGCAAGAAGAAAGCAAATGCTTGTTGGCTGCAACACAAGGGGCACTGAAGTAATTTATAGGAAGTACCTGGAAGCAGAGCCAAGACTGGAAAATGCCTCCTGATATCCTGTCTGCTTTTGTCAAATTCATACACTATTTCTGATAGAAAACCATAGATCAAAGGGGATTTTCAGCTTTAAAAGAGGCTTGTCTCAGGAAAGATCGGGCACCAGTGTGTTTTTTTCAGACTAGAAGTGGTAACTGGTCTTTAAAACAGCTAAGTTGTCAAGTGTTGTGGTGAYTGATGCACAAATGGATTGCAGCAGAGCTCCTCTTGGCCTTCCTCCACGTCAGGGAAAGGATGGAGAGACCTCAAATGCAGAAGACGGGTTAGATTTTGCTAGGAAGGTGTGCGCTGAACSTGAGAACGTCCTTTCCCATAGCAATTGATTTCACTACATGCCGTGTGTCCTGTTGTAAGCTGTTTTTCCCTTCCCATTTTGGAAAGTATAATTCATTCAAAAATAATTTTAATGTCTTCCTAATAATTTTAATGTTTTCCTAAAACAAATTTTAAATAAATATATGGTACAGATATGCTGCAAGATATCTGGTTACCAAATGATTTTCTGTGCCATACCACATAGGTTTTAAAGTTAAAGAATTGGAATAGGCACAGCGGACCAAGCACAATTACCAGATTTAATCCTGGATTTTTTATTTCCTAGCTTTTTTAGCAATACTCTCTTTTCTATACTAATTAATGCATATTAAGGGTTGCTCTTTTGGTTATGTCTTCGAGGGATAATGCAAAAAGCTAATGAATTAGCTTTGGAGACTGTATTAAGTACCTTTAATGTGTCCACTRTCTTGAAATATATACTAAAGCATTTTTAAATTTTTTAATCTGATATTCCGTAACAGTTTCCTTGCGTAATTATGGACTTTGGCACGGACTCCCCGTTACATATGCAAGGAAATGGTTCCATAATTACCCTAATGCTTGCATAATTAACAAGGTGCTTGCTAATTTTAACAGGCAAATTCCAAGCTGCTTTTTGCACAGGGGGAAAGAAAACACTGAGAGCYGTAACTTCTGTTGGTTTTTCCTTTCGTGTTTCTTACAGGTGTTGAAACGACCTCTTTTTAATTTGCGAGGAAATTTATGTGCTTTCTTCGGATAGGTAGCGCTGCGCGGAACGAGGAGCTGGGCTGCTCTGCGAGCGGCCTGMGCCAGCGGGGCCAGCGCGGCCATCACGGGCCGCTCTCCAGAAGCGGCCGCCGGCGGCCCCGCTCCCCTCCACATTTCCCYGTGGGTTTGGGCTGCACCACGGGGCTGAGCAAAGACCACCAGAACCGACTCCCACTTGTGACCTGAGGCCGGGCCTCAACCCTGGTTTCCGCAGAAGAAAATGGCGGGCGGTGCCATTGGCTGCCTTCCCGCCGCTGCCGAGCAGGGCGGCGCTGCCCACGCGCGGCCGCGGAACACGGAGTCGCTTCGGGATCTCGCAGTGAAAGGCTCCTAATAAAAACATGAAAGGGAAGAGCCGAGGTGGCATTTATGAAGTCAAAACAAAAGTGTGCGTGTATATATACATACTTATTATTCCAGTTTCTTAGTGGCCTTATGTGTTTTTCTGTGCGCATCCATACATACTTACGTGATACTTTATGCATAGCTGTTTGTCTTAAGAAGTTGGTAAACAGTGTTTTCTCGTTTGCAATTAAAAAGTGTGAATCACAACCAAAATGCTGCCTGAACATCTAAGGTAGATAATTAAAGTATAATTGAGTTTAAATGCCTTGGTGAAGGAATATAAAAATATTTAAATTCAACAGGCTAGTACATTTGCAGTTTTCTTTTATTAGGTGTGAAATCTAAGAATCCCCTGCCAACTCTTGAGGGCTCAATCCAGAATGTTGAATTGAAGTACTGCAGCACATCATTGGTCAAATGTGCCTCTGGGACCGTGGGATCAATAAAAATTTGTGCCAAAGCCCCAGGTATGTGCAGCTGGACCATGTAAAACTTTATTGCCTGTATAGGAGAATTGGCCTTGCTTTTTACAAGGAGAGTTACTGAAACAAGAATTTACTCATTGTTCCTATGAATCAGAGAGGTTTTTTTGTATTCTGTTTTTTTTTTTCTTTTAATATTATTATTGAGTGAGCCAGGACGATCCAGTCTGGCCCCAATATAGTCAATTTTGACACTGAATAAAAAAATAAAACTGTTTGTTTTGTTGCAGAAGCAAAAATTAATCTAAAAGCACTGAATGGACCAGAATAAAACTAGATTTTCATATTACACAAGATATTTGCATTCTACTTTATTAACAATAAGATTTCGTTACAATCTTAATATTTTTTTAATGCCTCATTTTCCATTAAGGCTAGAAGGACCTGATTGTTTTTTAATATTGTTTTAACATTGTTTTTTAAATTGCTTTACTAGAATTTTGTTGGAAAAGTATACATTAAATTCTCTAATTAGTGTATATGATCTTTATGTTTGAAATAACTATTGTTAAGAACATTTAAAATGCAGTACATTTAAGTCTAAATTGAGTTCATGGTGATTTTTAAAGTTATTATTTTATGAAGCTGAGATAGAAAATGCTGTTTTAATTAGAATTGATTATTTGTTTGTAACTTTGTTTTACATCCTCTTGAACATAAAGACAATTACAAGATAAATTTAAGGAAGCTGTTTAATGGTTTATAAGTGCTTGCTCACTCTGTTTTCTCTTTTAATTCTTTACTTATGGTTTTAATAGSTGTCCTCTTTAGACTAGTGAAAAATGTTTATATGTTGAAAAATTATCTTGGTACTGCAAAAGGTGTAAGAAGTCTTACCTTTTATCTTAGGTGATGGTGGAAAAGAGAAGCTGATTCCTTTAATTCAAGGCCCCTCTGACACCAGAGACTTACACAGCAGTAAATGGCTCAATGAGAGTAGAAAGCCAGAGTCTCTCTTAGCTCCAGACTTGGTAGTCTTTACAATCCAAATTCCACAGTGTATGGACTACTGCCATAATTCTGGTAAGTGCAAAACTCTTGTTAAGCTGGTATCACATTACATTTTCCTATCCAACGTAGTTTTCAAAAGAGGGGCTTGATGTAAAATGTGCCAAATGCCAAAGTATTTTTCACATACTGCACACTTTATAACTTTAGCTCACTGTGAGACACAAAACCAAAAAACAGCATTTTTGATATACGTCCTCTTTATAAGAAATGTATGTTGACTTTGGTTGATTGCTTTTAAATAAGTTATACAGTTTTTTTTTTTTTTTTTTGCAAAGACCATGTTGAAAATGTTAGTTCTAATTTTTTTTTTTGTTCATTTTTTTTCTATCTACTGAGTTGGACTTATTATTACTGAAGTTGACAGGCTGGATTCAAAATGATTTGCATGAATTTGAAGCATAATTTATGATTCAATTAAGAGTTGATTTATCTGCATAAAAACGTTGGCYTTTAAAATGTTTTAGAGCAGACTTTTAACTTTATCTACCTTGTGGTATTTTTAAATGGGAAGCAAGTTAATTACAAGTTATAGCTTGGATAATTTTAAGGATGTGGTTGTCTGCGGGCATGAATACTCTTACATTACTTTGTTTCAAGGAGTATTTTCAATTTGAACTCTATCTAGTTGAAAATGATTATAGAGTCTGTGAAATACACATGGATATTGGTTTTGTTAGTATATTGCATTTTAAGAATTATGTTTTCATCTTATAAAATGTTTCTGCTGTTGCTGCGCTGAGGTTGGAATCAAAAAGTAGGAGAAAGAAATCAATGAGCACCTAATCAAATGGAAGCAAAAGAATTAACTGCCCTCAGAATTATGAAACATACACACACAAACCCGAAAAATAAGATTTTTGTCTCTGATTTCTTTCATATGTAGTGGTCTATGAATGTTATCAGCTCAAAAARTAACACAGTGTTACCATCTTTCTATTTTTATGTGCATAGGTAAGCAGTGTTTCCTTCTTATATAAAGTAATATTAGTAAGCACTTTGCAGTCTTTAGGTTATTTTTTCAGTAACTACGTTTGTGTGTCTCTTACGGTACCATACTGGAAATCTTTATGACAGTGTTTTTATAACAATTAGCTTAAATCCCTGCAACTAAAACATTGGCTAAAAGTGATTCACGATTCAGAAGTCTCTCCTAATTATTCAGATTCCAAAAAAAGAAAAAGAAAGCTGTTGCACCTGTTGTCTGAAATAAATAATTTCTAAATGTCTATAATATTAATATATTAATAGTATTTATTATTATTACTGATTTTAGCTTCTGCCTTTTGCTGGGAGTTCTTGTTMATACTGGTTACTGTGACCATATACATTTGAGCTCACCAATATTCTGGATAGTTCATTTAGATAATAAGACATTCTTGATACTTTTGTGATAGAGGATGTTTAAGAGAAATAAGCCAGTAAATCAAGTGAAGGACCAACTTACAGCTAATAATGCAGTAGTATTTGGGTCGTAAGCACTTTGGTACTTATTTTGTATGTGAATGCATCTCCATGCATGTAAAATGCTATAATTTCAGATTTTAAAAAGCTCCCCAAATGCCTCCAGACCATATACTGCTTCTGTAGACTGAATGACGCACTGATAACCAGCCTCCTTGGAGCTCTGGGCAGCGCTGAGGAGGGAGAGGGAAAGGCTGGGTGATACCTTAGAGCTCTAGTTCCTGGACATGTGGAGAGTAGTGTGCTGGAAATGAGCTTTTAAAAAATTTAAACTATGAAAAGCTAGGAATGCTGAAATTATCTCAGAATCCATACAAAGGAAGTGGGAGTTAGTGAAAGCCTTGCTTTTCCAAATACTTGCTGGAGGAATTGAGGCAATTCAATACAGGAGATATGGATATCCTCTTATGAAGGCTATGGAGAGAAAACATGAAGTGATATGAGAGCATAAAAATGCTTTTGCTGTCAGTTGTGGTCACTTCTGGGAATTAGGAAAGCTACGCTGGATAATTTAACGGCAAATTCAAGTTACACCATGTGGGAATTAAAGGGTTGTTAAAAGCTGTACTACTGGAGATGACTTTGCAGTATGAACTTGAGGTATTTGGAGCTGCTTGTCCTAATAACTGCAGATGTGATGCTCAGGGATAGAAATTTAGGATACAGAGAAGTGGAATGAGAAGAGTGCAGCCTGCTTGTAGAAAGAATGGGAAAAAAAAGCTTTGCAAGGAAAGAATAAAAACATCGCTTAGATTTGCTCTGTATTACCAATTTGCTAGAGGTAAGGGCAGGACTGGCCAGCTTTTTTAGCTCTACAAGAGCCATCTAAAACAGCGGTGCCCCTGAGCTGGGGTTGGGCGAGATGTTGTGCATCCCTCAGCTAAACCCAGCTTACTTCTCTCCACATATGGGGAGTCAGAAAATTCAGCAAACTTGGTATCAGCGAAGCTGGTGGTCACATGACACTGAGGTTTCCTTTGGAGCTCCCCATGTGCTCTGAACTGAGTGTTCCTCCAGACAAGAGTTGTAATTGCAGGGAATTTTCTGGGCATTCCGGCTAAAGAAGAGGCCCTGACCTAAGAGTTTGTAAAAGAATCTTGGACTACAACATAAACACTCTAGGAGTGATTTTTACAAGTTTTTGGTAATATAAAAATGAGTGGAGAAGTAACTAGTTACAGTGAGCACTTGTGAAGTTGAATGGCAAGCTCCAGGATCTGAAATCAGAGCACTACCTTGGGCATAAGGAGGTYGTGCCAGTGACAGGTGTTTCTTAGGCAGATGCGGGCAGATTTACTGGAGGGTGCATGTCATGGTACCCTTCCTGCACCTCCCTCAGTTCCATCTTGTTCCCCCAAGCCGTGGGGACGGAGACTCACAGTCTGAGTAACGGAGGCAACCATTTCATTTCATTTCATTTCATTTCATTTCATTTCATTTCATTTCTTGATTTTTTTTTCTTTTTTCTTTTTTACTTGTTGATAGCGAGAGGAAGAGGAAATCTTGATGATTTTTGTAGCGACATACTGCATAACCTTTGGTAACTTTCCAGGAGAAATCTAGGTCTATATAAAATGTTATTCCAAGGAGGGCAACATACAGAAGGTGGATGCACTGGTGATTAGCAAGGACAATTTCATGTTGAGTGCATATTATTAGCACAGTAGAAAACTTGTAAGCCTATAGCACAGTAAGACTTTCAGGAAATAAATATACTTTTCTTTGGACCTTATACATAAATCCACATGCTTTTAGTCCTGGGTACATTAGTTTGSTGTATGAAAATCTGCTGTGTGGGAGTCTTTGTGTAACTTAAAAATCATTGGATGTGCTTGCCAGTCATTACATGAACTGCATTGCACAGGATACAGGAGGGAGAGGAGATTATTTCACTGCTCCGGGACTTGGGAAGGTCTTCCTAGTGCTTCTCTGAACTAACCCTGGATTTATGAACCCTTGGAGCAAGCTACAGCCCTTGTTTGCTTCACCTGGCCTTTGAGCAAAAGAGGGAGATTGGGAAATGGATGGGGGCGTTAGGATTTAATTACAAGCAGCTGCTGCATAGATGAGGGGAGCTGATTAAGCTCTGCTTGGTTTGCCATACTGCGTAATTGGCAGGGCCTGCACGGCCGCACTTGCAGAGCTTCCCTATGTATAAATCAAGAGGAAACAAACTCAAAAACACTCTTAGCAAGCACCTCCTTTTAAGCTCACCTTAGATAGTTAGCAGTGCTGCAGGGAAGCAGAGGAGCAAACAGAAATACCTGTATTAAGTTTAGTGCCTTGGCACAGCTGGAGGAGGAAGGGCGAGTGAGAGCAGCCTTCTCACACCAGGGCTGTGTGAGAGCTGCGTGGTCAGGGAAGGGCAAATATTCAAC